TCGCACTTGAGCTGCACGGCCATTTGGCGGATAGCGCTGGCGCTACGCACGCAGCCCATGATGCGGTCGTCCTTGGACGAGCCGGCGATGTCCAGACGCTCGCGGACTTGCATACGCACGCGAGCCACGCGCTGCGCGACCCAAATCAAGCAGCACACGAAGAGCGCGAGGAACACGGCGAACGTAGTGAAATTGCCGCTGAACAGGTTGACCAACGTCAAGATCAGGAATAGAAGGCGGCCAGTATACGCGATCAAGTCGAGGGAAAACCCGAGGCCGCACGAGTTGAGTCCCAGACGCGTCTCCAACTGCGCCAGTGGCGCACACGGGCAGCAGCACACCCACCAGTAGTAGGCGGTGCGCAGGTCGGCGTCGTGCAAATCCACGGTCCATACGTTCATGCGCAGGCCGTTAGGATCGAAATCCGCGCCAGATCCGATCGGCGTCAGGGTCTTGTTGTCGGGCGTCAACACAGTCACGTACTCGTTGCTGGGGCTCTCTCCCACGAAGCCAGGCTCCGTCACGGGCGTCGGCAGCGGGAGCTTCGTCTGCTTCTTTTCGGCCATGGTGGTTGCAGTCTCTTCACTTTAACTAAAAATGGGCTTTTAGGCTAACGACCTCGTGCTCTTGCCGGTGTATGTGGAAATGATGGCCAAGCAGATTACGGGAGACGGCGGGTACATTTCCATGGATGATGCCGGGTGTCGCGACACTTTACTACACTGGAGAATATCCTGCTAAAATAAGTAATCTATTTGGAAAGGGGAAAGCAAATAAAGCTTTGAGAAAACCTGTTCCAGGGAATCAGTCAACTGTTGGCAAAGATCGGCGACCCTTCTTCAATACGAGGGCCGTTGTTTTGCAGCTGCAAACTGCAGTGACCGTGTCCAACACGCCGCACGTTCAGGCTGAAGCTCAGCGAATCTCCATCTACGCATACACAGGCACACTTAGTAGCATCTATCGGTAGCGTGTAATACAGACCGTGCGGGGCGGTGTTGGGGCTCATGGCGTGCTTCCTCAACGGCCAAGCCAGCTCGAATTTTTGATAGTTTTGAATCGTTGGTTGACAAGCATGACTTTCATAGATTATGCATAATTCAGAGTTCAACATCCATATCTTTGCTAGTCTAATGTGATGATTTCATATATCATATTTCAGAGGTACATGAGGGAATGCGGGTGTGTGAGATTCACACGTGAAACGAACATGAGCTCGCCACCTTCCCAGTTGACGCAGTCGCAGCTCGTGGCGCGACTACGCGACCTCCTGGCCCATGATGGCCTCGCCGTGATGCCCTGCTGCTTCGATGGACTCAGCGCCAAGCTCATCGAGCGCGCGGGCTTCGATGTGGCCTTTATGACGGGCTTTGGCGTCTCCGCCGTGCACGGACTGCCAGACACGCAACTTTTGTCCTTTGGCGAGATGGCTCGCACCGCTGCAACTGTATGCGAGTCTTTGCGCAATGTTCCGTGCATTGGCGACGGTGACACGGGCTACGGCAACGCCATGAACGTTAAACGAACCGTCCGTGCGTATGCACAGGCGGGTATGGCCGGCATCATGCTGGAAGACCAAGTCTCCCCCAAGCGATGCGGACACACGGCCGGCAAAGCCGTTGTCTCTCGAGAAGAGGCTTTTGCACGGGTACGTGCGGCTGTGGACGCCCGTAGAGAGGGACAGTTCGACATTGTCATCATGGCGAGGACGGACGCCAGAGGAACCCACTCATTGGACGAGGCCATTGCTCGCTGCAAAGAATTTGCCAGACTCGGAGCGGACATCACGTTCCTTGAAGCGCCACAGTCTGTAGAAGAGATGGAGACGTACTGTAGAGAAGTACCAGGCCCTAAAATGGCCAATATGGTGGAAAACGGCCTCACACCGGTGCTGTTGCCCGAACAGCTTGGCAACATGGGCTACAAACTGGCAGCGTATCCGATTACACTGCTAAGCGCCAGTATCAAGGCGATGGAGGAAGCGCTGAGACTGCTCAAGTGTCAAACCGGTGGAGAGAAGAAGGAAGATACGGGGAATAACGCGACTCCGAGCACTGAGCTGGACAAACTGCTGTGCGACTTTGCACACGTGAAAGATGTCGTGGGCTTTACGGAGTATTACGCGGAGGAAGATCGTTACAAGCAGTGAATAAACAGTCGTACACGGGAGTTTAACATTGAATGAACGACACGATTTCATGACAAAAAAGGTAACAACTACATCGTCAGACTTGGCGAACAGCTAGGTATGAACAGGAATACGACGACGACCGAGGATGAAATCTACTCAGAGCGCAGCCTGCGGTACTGGGACATTGCGCCAGCATTCGCATTCGCATTAGCGTTCGCACTCGCTGTGGCACCAGCGTTTGCATTGGCGGCCGCACCACCACCAACTCCTGCATTGCCCACACCCACGCCGTTGTAGCCGTTGTA